TAGAGAATTTACGGTATATATATATATATGTAAAGAGTTTGCATTTAATATTAAAAAATGTTTTAATTTTATAAAAATGTAAAAAATAAAATAAAATTTTTTTTCGTTTGTCAATATTATTTATTTCTCCTCTGGATATAGAGCATATTGTGGAAAAGTGAGTTTCACCTGGTTTAAATTAGTAAAAAAGTCTTTAAGGAACCTTTTGCTATCTGATTATTAATTGTTTAATTGGAAAACTTATTGGCAGATTAATCGTTTTGCAAAATAATCATTAGTTGCAGCATTATTATTATTACCATTTGTTTCATGTTTCAGTTTACTTAGTTCAGCCATTATAATGTGTCTCTTGTGTTTTAAGTCTGTGTTTCTGATTTTCACTTATATAAAGCATGTTGCTTTACCCTATATAACAACTGCTCAGTAAATAGAGTTGAATTAATAAATAGATTTTTTAACTTCTGCCTGCTTCTTATCTTCCAGGTTTGGCTGATCCTTCAGCCCTCACTCAGGCTGTTTCTGCCTTCCAGGCCTGCCACTTCATCGGGATGCCTGAATGTGAGGTAGGCACACCCAACTAATCAGACAGTTTTTTGTTTTTTTTTTACTTTCCACTATTTTTACCAAGGTGTTGTCATTTTCCATTTTAGGTAATCCTCGCTCAGTGTGTCATCTATCTCGCACGAGCACCCAAGTCTGTGGAGATCTACAAGGCCTATTCCAATGTGAAAGCCTGTCTGAGAAACCACAAAGGCCCCCTTCCTTCTGTTCCCTTGCACCTCCGCAACGCCCCCACCAGGCTAATGAAACAGCTAGGCTATGCTAAAGACTATAAATACAACCCAGCATTTAGCGGCCCTGTGGAACAGGAGTATCTGCCTGAGGAGCTGCGGGGAGTTAACTTTTTCACCTGGACACCTTCAGAACCTTGACTGATTATTTAATCTGCAGCTAAAAAACAAATCAAAAGCTGTTTGTAAATGTTCTCAGCAGCTGTAAACATGTTTTCTCAAACCTGCTTATTTACAAAAACATTAAACATTAAGAATATAAGCAAACTAAATCACAGTTTTTTGTTGTTTTTTTTGGGTTTTTTTTCACAAAGCATTCTAAATACATTTAAAAGTTTGGCCTTTGAGTTTTTTTTATAATTTCTCAGAATAAAAATGTGAATACTGTATTTTATTGGATAGAGGTATATTGTATAGATTTTCAATCACAAATACAATTAAATAATATTCAGAAGTTGGTCGATCTGTTTATTGCTTTGTGTTGCACAATTCTTGAGTTTCCTTAGTTTTGGGCCATAATCTGTAAGAAAATACAACATAATTACACACATTATCTATAAAAAATACTTCAAAATTTCTGTCACACTTAAATGTAACCCAGAGACCATTCATACACATACCATTCATGTGATTTGGCCGAATTAAAACTAATTAAAAGCAAGATTAAATCAAAGTTCCCTTCCAGCGATGTGAAAGGATTCTTTCCCATTTATCTCAAGCAGCAGATGGCAGACATTGCAATAAAGCTTTATCAGACAGTTATTAGGTTTTTAGGGACATTTAATTTGATTTGTCTGGGTTTTATAGCTTTTTCCCTTAATTTGTCTTGAAAACGCTGTATGTTTTACTTCATTTTGATTTTAATATTGAACAATTTGAAACATGTAAGTGTGATAAAAAACGAAAGTCAAAACATTACTCAGGGAAACAAATATTTTTTCATAACATGAGATTATAGAGTGGAATTTAGTTTAGGAATTGATTCCCTCACCTCGCTGATCCAGGGGATGAAAGAGGCAACCCGGGTAAAGACAGTGGGCTTTTTCGGGGTGTTACATCCACGACCATCAACAAAGCTTGTCACTCCTTCCACATACCATCTGTTGTTGTGGCCTTTACAGTTTAGAGGACCCCCAGAGTCTCCCTGCAAGATTCAAGCTGACATTATTCAAGCTCTAAGTAGTCTGTCAAAAAAAAAACTAAGTTCTCCGAATGTTTCTCACATGGCATGCAGATTTGCTTTCTCCTCCTGCACAGACCATTGTAGTCTTAGCAGAGCTACCCCACCAGTCGCTTTGGCTGCAGACACTGTGATCCACCACAGGAAGCAGCGCCTGCTGCAGCCTGGTCGCCCGGGGACCTCCAGCTTTATAGAAAAGGACATTGAGAAAAAGTTGTTCAACAAATACCTTATCAGAACCGTTTCATGTTTTGAATTCTTGTTAACGATGGATCTCACAGTAAAGACGACCCCAGCCTGTAATATAGCAGGGCTGGTTGTGGGTCAGGAAGGAGCCGTGCTCTGGCAGGCAGGCTGGCTGAACCTTGTCATTGAGATCAGCCTTCTTCTCCAGTTTGAGCAGAGCAATATCATTCCTACGGAGGGGAGCAATAACAATCATTAACTGGAGAATAGAGACTCTAAAACATGCCTTTAGCTGACTAAGCAGCAATTATACCGAAATTGTTAAAAAATATATATATATAAACATTTTGCATTTAAGATTAAAAAAAAAAAACTCTTGTTTGTCTATCAATATTCTCTATGCAGCCTCCTCAAGTGGAAAAGTCTTAGTTTCACCTGGTTTGATTTCATGAAAAGTTAATCGATTAATCAAAGGAATAATCAACAGGTTTAACGATTTGCAAAATAATCGTTATTTGCAGCCCTATTGAGGATACCTTTACATCTTGTGTGTGAGTGGCAACATAATACTGCATGCATGGAGCAGAAACAGCTGGTGCTGTTAGTGTGAGGAAATAATATTGTGCAGAAATATTGAAGCAACACCTTGAGACATCAGAACCTTAAAAAACTTGGACACAAACCAGTGTCCCATATGGAAAGTTCCTTAACCATACAACAAAATGGCCAAAGTTTGTATTTTGACATAACACAGCTCTGTCCAGTGGAACTGGCCAACATTCAACCAAACTATTGAAAAGCTTGTGTAGTTAGACCAAAGTCACTAACGATATATATATATAAAAACTCCTGAATTTGAAGAATGTTTGAACACAGATACTGGTTATTTGTCAAGCATTTAGCAAAACACTAAATATATTTGTGTTATACCACATGTCTTAAAATAAGAGTGGTTTAGTGATTTTTAATGTTGAATAGGGAATATATATATCCAATATATATAATATATATCCAAATATATATATACTGATATACAAAATATTGGATATCAGCTGTGAATAGTTGTCTTTCTATTGTAGTTTCTAAAGATACAGGCGGTACTATAAGGAGCAACAGTTTTCAGCGAATATTTTTCAGTTCAGTTAATAATCTCAACATCCACTATGCTTCGAAATTATTTGAGTGTCCCTGCCAGACTGCTGTACATGCTCTGTGATGATCCCTGCGCAATATTGATAAACAACTGAAAAACATAATTTTTTTTTCAATCACTTCATTAAGGTTCTTGGATAAAATAATAAGTGTCCCTCCCAAATGCATTTTAACATACCCACAGGAGACACAGTTATCGTTCCATTTGGGATGGATGAACATTTTTGCCACCATGATGGACTGTTCAGGTCCCTCTTCTTTGTCCATATCATGTTCTGCAAGAACCACCCTGTACGTGTGGAATCTGGATGGAAAGCAAAACCTAGTTTATTCCTTAAAAAATATAAATAGAGAAATACCAACGGATTTTTTTCGGGATCTACTTAAAAATAATAATTATTTTGCAGCAGATTTTTAGACACTTATTAATATAGATTATTATTAAAGCTATGACATTTTCAGTATTTCTTTCAGAATTAGACAGCATTTTTTTTGTGGCCAACAAGTTATTGCAAATGCTACAATAAACTCACGTTATGCAGTGTGCAGCTGTCAAGACCCAGTCTGGAGCAACAAGGGTTCCTCCGCAGGTGGGGTAAAAAGACTCCAATGAAACCTAATGGGTTAAAAAAATAAATAAATAAATTATCTAAATGTGTTACAAATGTTTTTTATTGAGATTTTGATGCTCCTAGTTATATTTCAGAGGTGCAAAAGAACATTTTGACTTTCCATGAAACCACTATAACTCTAATAAAACCTTAAAATGCCTGAACAGAGTATGGTTCTCTAATTGGGAACTAAAATTATGTTTAATTGATTAAATAAAGTAGCAATATGCCTTTGTACATAGGTTTTGAGTATGACACTTTTTTTTTTTTATTTGCAATTACTAACCTGCCATGACCAGCTGTAGGGATGAGCCTCTTCTCCATTTACCACTCGACTGCTGCTGGACTGAAAACCGGGCACACCGCAGCTAGATACTTATACAAAGCAAGAGAAAAAATTAGACAAAGATGTGTAAAACTGTAGCCAAGAGGAGATTAAATCACATTTTGTTTGATTCAAGGCTAAGTGCCAGTTTTTTTCTTATTTTGCAGGTTTTTGGAAACAGAATTGTTACATCTTAACTTTAAACTTACCAGATGTGACAACCAGCAAGAAAACAAGTCCCTTAATCATCTTTTTCTTTTTTCTTAGGAAAGAAATGTGACTTATCAAGCGGCACTATTTATGGGAATGAGTCCAGACAAAAGCAGATAAAACCTGGGAATTTTCCCAGCATTCTGCAGGTGACGTTGCTGTCAAATTGTAAACACTATATGCAGCTCAACATACATAGTTTTTTCATAGTAAATATCACCAGTTCTGGAGTTTTCTTTAACCTTACAGTTGCCACAGTGTGACTATAGTGGCTAATATTTCCAACGTTTGCCAGGTCCTGTATTAAAATATATAAAACAATCCACTACATTTAATGTTAAAGCTACCCTTCAGAAACACAAATTGATATATTTAATGCTTTTTTTTATTTGCAACAATTTCTAGGTCATCTTCAGTAATTGAACAAGCCGTTTATGTATACAGATGCAAAACAGGCAACAATTCTATATTGTTTTAAGCTACAAATAGTTCAATTAAGCGGATGATTTCATGTTTACTGATTGTGCAGTTGTGCAGGAATTTTTCAAGACACACAAGACAACATAAGATACAAAACAATTAAAGAACAAACAACTGCTAAAACACTATCAAAGATAATGTATTTTTTGTATTCATGATGTGCTATGTTAAAGACTCATAATGGCAAAAAATTTACACAAATAAAAAATATATAGAACGAGATTTAAAGGCATTAGAAAATGAATGTAATTTGAAAATGAAACTGAAGTTGAACTTATAATGAAATACTTGAAATTGAACTCTATTAAGGTGGGGTTTGTTGTTGGCTTTTGCTGTCTTGTTTGTTTTTGCAATCAGGGTGATGATTTTTTACACATCACACTATGAGTTTGTCAGTGGGAAAAAAAATTTTTTGATTAATTATTTCCAAGTATTTATGAGGCACTTTATCGAAAATGAAAGTTCACAGATTATGAAGATTCACAAATTAGTAAAAAAAAAAAAAAAAACTGATGCAGACAAACATAAACACGTTTCCCTCGTTTGCCGGAAACAATGTGTTTTTCAGCCAGACGAGGGCGCTCGACACAGTCTTTCGTCTTGCGTCACCCGCAAAAACAGAAGAAGAAGTGTTTTAAAGATGGCGCTACCCGGTGTTTTACTCGTGAGACTGAACGGGCTTTGCAAACTGTCCCAGTTTGTTCATGCTGGGAGAAAAACAGCATTTAACTGTGGCGGAGAAATGCGATGGTATGGAACAAAGGCACAGAAGTTTCTCGAGCACAGTGCTCCCTGTTTCCACAGTAAACGAGGTGAGTTAAAATGCTGGCCAGCTCCTGTTAGCTAACAGTTGACAGCTGCAGTATTGCAGAACCTCAAGGACACTCAACTTTAAAAACGTGGTTAAAAAAAAAAAAAAAAAAACTTGTTTAAATGGTGAGGATAATTTGTTTGAAAGTGCTTATTTGTGTAGAGTTGCCAACTTTTCACCGTTTCTTCAAATTGGTTTTAATTATTAGGTAAAGGTAATTCAAACCTCCAGAAAGAGTTTCCAGACCCCAAAAGCCTCCTAAACAACACTATATCCCGGTCGTTAGGAGTGAATGACCTTTCTCAGCTCATCCAGTACAGCTGTACAGAACATGATGGTCTCAAGGTCAGCTTATCCCTCCAGAACATCCACTGCACCCATCTGTGCCTCTTAATGTATATGTTTGTTGATTGAAATGATTTTATTTTGTAATTGGGTCCCTACAGAAAGCCACTGTGACAATTCAGTGGCCCAGCAAGATTACAGCAGAGGGTTATGCATCCAGGAAGATTGATGCAGAGCGGTTTGCTGCTGCTGCAGCCTGTCTCAGACTTAGGGTAAGCTGTGCTACAGAATCACTGCCTTGCTCCAGTATTTATACATCATTGTAAAGGACATTGAGATGTTTTGGGTTATTTATTTATTTTTTATCCCAGTTTGAAATTATTGTGGTTTGGGTTTTAATTTTTGTCCTAAGGAATTGGGTGTGATCGGTCCGAACAATCAGCTCCCTAAAAGGAGAGCAGGTCGGGTGAGAGGAGGACTACATTCCCATCTCTATGACAATGAAGAGAACCACCGGACAACTAATGTTTCCGTCCCCAGAGGAGAGGAATTTTCCTCTCCTATGGAGGATGCTTCTGTTGTGTCTGAAGCCCTTTCTCTCTTTCCACAACCTAAATCTCTTCTGACCAGGGTGATCCAGGTGGCCACTTCAGCCAACAGAATCAGAGTATGTAGATTTCTTTATTTTTTATGTTGACAGCTTATCACTTGTTTTATATCAATACCTGGATTAATTGTATCTGCAGGAGTTGATGCATTTCAGAACAGCAGGAGGGAAACTTAAAAAATGTGAGCTGACTCTGCTTTGGCCGGAGGAGATGAAGTTCAGAGCGACGGCGAGCAGCCGAGTCATGGCAGAGAGAGGAGCTGCAGCGCTTGCCTGCATGAAGCTGAAGGTTATGAGGAGAACTAGTGAAACTAAAGTGTATACCTGCAAGTCAGAACTGTGTTAAAATATTTATGATTTTTGGTGCAGGAGCTTGAGCTTTTGGATAAAGACAATAACCCCCTCACTCATGCAAAGTACCACCGAGACAAAGTAAAGGAGGCTGGAGAGAGAGAGAGGCGTCCATTCCTTCTGGAGATTCCACAATATCTGGAGCAACACATCAGGGATTATCTAACACAGGTCAGTCCTCTTTCCATATGCCTGCTTGTTTGGTTTTATGCCTTTTTAATGCTAATCGGGAGAGGATGTTTGCTATTTGAAGGTTTTCATGCCCATCTTATCAAAATAAAAAATTAAACTTCCCTATATGTGAGATTAAACTTTTTTAATTGGTTATTTATTATTAATATTTCCTCACAGTACCCAGTTGCCACAGAAATACAGAAGCTATGGGAGGAAGACGAGGCGAGAGGACAACAGACAATGAATGAGGAGGAAGGAGAAGAGGTCTTCATAGCGGACGCCATCACTGGCAAGCCTTACAAGCCCCTGTCAGAGCATCAGGCTCGGTGGCTCAGCTGCCACCTGCAGGAGGAATGGGAAAAGGCAAACCCTGGACTGAGTGTGGAGCTGCCTGTCGACGCCCACCAGCAGCGCGTGGTCTCGGCCGTGCGCTCCTCCAGGGTGGTTGTGATCGCCGGCGAGACTGGGTGTGGCAAGACCACACGGATCCCACGCTTTCTGCTGGAAGAACAAGTGAGAAGGGGGGAGGGAGCAGAGTGCAACGTCCTGGTGACTCAGCCTCGTCGGATCAGTGCCGTGTCGGTAGCTCATCGCGTGGCTCATGAGATGGGTCCACATCTTAAACACCACATTGGATATCAGGTACTGTCACAACTTTAAGCCATTCAGAGGAAAAAATATTCCTCATATGAAGTATCTTTTTTTCTTTTTTTTTTTTTTTCCTTTTAAAATTAGAATTTTGAAAACTACTCTTGGTATAATCAGTTTTCTCTTCATGCTTATCCTTCATAATTGTGCTTTTTATGCTAAATATATATATATAAAAAAATTGTTTTTGAGTTGATAAAATACAAGTAAAGTTGACAGATGAAAATTAAATTCAGTGGAGAAAAAAAAATCAGAATGAAATGTTATAATGTTAATGCAAGAACTGCTCCTTTCATAGGTGAGACTTGAGAGCCGACCTCCTGAAAACAGCGGAGGGTCTATGCTCTTCCTCACAGTGGGTGTGCTGCTGAAGAAGCTGCAGTCAAACCCCTCCCTGAAAGGAATCAGTCATGTTGTTGTGGACGAGGTCCACGAGAGGGATGTGAACACGGACCTGTTGCTGGCATTGCTGCGCTCCAGCTTAAAAGAGAACCCTGACCTCCGGGTTGTTCTTATGAGCGCCACCGGGGACAACCAGAGGCTGGCAGAGTACTTTGGAGGCTGCCCTGTCATAAAGGTGCCAGGGTTCATGCACCCAGTGAAGGACAGATACCTTGAGGATGTGATGAGGGAGATGGGACGCTCTGCTCAAATCCAGAGACGGGTGAATGCAAATGAGGTGAAACTTCAAACTTTTTAGATCTATTAGCCTTTCAACTAAATATTAACTATTCTATTTATTTGCGTAAGTGCATTTATTTAGCACAATTCTTGCTGTATTTTTTGCGTTAGCTAACACTAAAATCTACTTTGTGGGAGCAGTCCCAGATTAATGTGTAGAACTAAACCTGAGCGCTATACAATATCAGTCTTGTTGGTTTATATGTACCCTACTCGCAGTGTTTTCGCTTTTTTCTTCCATTTAATTTCTTGTTTCTTTATTATGTTTGGCATCTTCTTTGAGGAGGGGTTGGAAGAGGCCTCCCCAGATCTTGACTTAGTAGCTGACGTCATTGAGCACATCGACAGACATGGAGAGCCAGGTAACTAATGTTCCCTAATGTAATAATTCTTGCTTTATCCAGTTATATTTCTAATATTGTTTCTATTAATGCTGCAGGTGCGGTTTTGTGTTTCCTACCTGGTTGGCAGGACATCAAAGGAGTTCAACAAAAACTGGAGGAAAAAACACGTTTTTCATCAGGCAATCACATGATTGTGCCATGTAAGAATAAATAGTTTTTAGACATTATTTGTTTTACCTTCAACTTTATGACATTTTTCTCATTTCCTCTCTGGTCTTTTTCTAGTGCACTCAAGCTTATCAGTAGCTGACCAGCAACTAGTTTTCCAGAAGCCCAAAGCTGGTCAAAGGAAGATCGTGCTTACCACTAACATAGCCGAGACCTCCATTACAATAGATGATATAGTTCATGTGGTGGATACAGGAACTCACAAGGAGCAGAATTATGACCAGCGGACAAAGGTGTTTGATTTTACCTCTTTCATGTTAGAATCTGAGAGATGACAAACTTATTTTTCTCTGTAGAACAAATCCATGTTGGTTTTCTGCTTTTATTTTTCTCATATCCCAGGTTTCCTGTCTGGACACAGTGTGGATATCTCATTCTAATGTAACTCAAAGAAAAGGAAGAGCAGGACGTTGCCAACCGGGGCAGTCGTATCACCTGTTCCCAAGGAAACAGCTGGAAAGCATGACACTCTTTCCTGTTCCTGAAATCCTGCGTACACCTCTGGAAAGTTTAGTATTGCAGGCTAAAATCCACAGTCCGAACTGCAAGGTACTTTTATTTATTTATTTTTCTGCATACTTTTTTTATTCATTTTTTTTTTTTTATGGTTTTCTGTGATTTAAAAATAAAAATGTGTTTAAACAGGCTGTAGACTTCCTGTCTCAAGTCTTGGACAGTCCAGAGCCACAAGCTGTAAGAGATGCAGTCAAGAACCTCCAGGATATCGGTGAGGGACCTTGGATCCACATCAATTGTTAAGTTCAAATTCAGTGGCTGCTTCCTCCGAAGGCCAAATTATTCGGTCAAAGTCATAGCGCGGAGCCGAGGCCTGTTCGGATTGTAAGACTCCTTGTTATAAATGCAGCCTCGCTAAAATGCCCCCACCCCCCTTCAGTGTCAATTACATTGTATCAGTCCATTTGCTGCACATGTTCAGAAAATTCAGACAGCAGCAAACTATTTGAAAACAAACAGTTCAAAGAGCAGTGGCGCATTGTTGCTATATTGAGCGACTTTTCAGACCCCTCTAGCACTCTTATTTTTTTTAAAAGCGCCTAGTGCCAAATCTAGCAGCTTGTTTTCTGCTACTAGAGACTTTGGCGACATGATTCATGTAGCTATTATTTCATACAAATGGAAAACAGATAAGCAGATCATGTCTACAGTGAAAAGGACCTTTTATTTAATTTGGCTGTCGCCTTTTTGGAAACACGGGAAGGAGCAATTAGCTAAGTGAGCTTGGTGCTTGGAAAAAATAGTTTATTTGTTTTATTCCTTTTGAGACAGCATGAAAAGTCAGCTGAGTACAAAACAAGAGAGGAAAACAAGAAAAGGGTCAAGAAGAAAGGGACAAAACGTAGAACAAATTTATGTCTATTTTATTAAAATTTCTGTATCTGTATAATGGGTCTGTTTTTATGCTTTGTCTTAATTCAGAGCGCCACTGATGGTCTATGCCTAGGGCCTTAAATTGGGGGCTATACAGTGGCAGCATTTCAAAGTGGCCCTTTCCATTCAAATGGCAGCCCACTTCCCTCCAACTCCCATCGAAATTCCCTCCAACTTCCAGCCACTGGAGAGATTATTTTTTTACTCTGATTCCACCCTTTCACTGAATTACAGGGTCTGACCATGAGGTTACGCTTCTCTTTAGATCTAAATGTCCACAAATCATGACGGAAAGAATATTCTAATACAAATATTGATGTTTAAAAAGGACTTGTAGGGAACAAGCCAAGGGCCCATCAAGGAAAGTGGGGAAATTTTTAATGGCTACTACTGTAGATATGATATTGGTGACGACTTTACAACAGTAGTGAAAAGTTTGGTATCCATTCTTTTCCTTCTTTGCGTGTCCACTGCCACGGTTTCTAGGCGACAGAGCGAACGAGCGGTGGAAGCTGGAGAAGGCTGGACCTGTTTGAATCCATAGCCAAAAACAGTCCAAGTAGCCCGGGTCCTTGGAGGATGCAGCCTCTGAAATCGAACACACCCCATATCTGATGTGAAGCCTCCATTTCAATAATTTAGAATCCTCTTTGTTGCATGTCTTATATATATATATATATATATCATCTTGGTTTGTCAGGAGTCCTAGACCGGACAGAAACCCTGACTCCTTTAGGAGAGCGTGTGGCCTGTATGTCATGTGACCCACGACTCGGCAAAGTCCTGGTTCTGAGTGCCCTGTTTAGATGTGTTCTGCCTATGTTGTCGGTTGCTGCATGTCTAACCAGAGACCCATTCCACAACAGCCTTCAAAACAGAGCACTTGTAAATAAGGTAAGGTCTATGGGTTTATAGAAATGCTACATGAAGACTTAGTTCAACATTTGAATTGCAAAACATTTTTTATTTGTCTAGGTCAAAGATGACCTGTGCAGCTCCAGCTATAGTGACTATCTCGTGTTCAGCCGAGCGGTTCTGGGCTGGAGAAAAGTCCAACTCGAGGGAGACAGAGAAGACAGAGATGAATATTTGCAGAAATACGTTTTGTCTAAAGGCTCTCTCCGATTTATCAATGGTTTGTCTGATTCACACTTATTGAGGTTGGTGTTCTTCTGCATTTTTGAATGGAGTGTCCTTTTGCTAACACAGTTCCCTGTCTTGATTTATTCCATGGTAGGTCTTATCTCCCAGTTCAGCGACAACCTGCAGGAAGCAGAGTTGGTTTCTCGTGCTAGTGAGTGCCAGCGTCATACATCGCTCTACAATGAGCACAGCGGCCAGGATGAGCTGCTTAAGGCGGTACTGCTGGCTGGATTGTACCCCAACCTTATCCAGGTACACAACTTTTCAGTTATGTATTTATGTTTGAAACTTTATAACATCACATTGAGTGGTCAGTGTGGTTCAAAAAGTAACTTTTACATTTTGTTTTTTTAACTTTTACATTGTGCTAGTGCAAATATTTCTTAAAGGTATTATAAGGATGTCTGACCTCTGATCTTAATGAGCATTATTAGTTTTTACCTAAACAAGATGAATATTATATGTTGGCCTAACCTTGTTTTACATGCTTTATTTGTTTTGGGTTTCTTTAAAGGTAAAGAAAGGTGTTATTACCAAAGGGGGGCGCTTTCGCCCCAATAATCTGGCTCTCCGCACAGTCAGTGGTCCGGTGCTGCTTCATCGCTCTTCAGTGAACAGGTTCGATCACGATCAGACCTTTCTCTGACAGCATGACACTGACTTGGATAATGCGTTATGTTCACTTTCTGTCTTGCCCACTGTTGCAGAGGAAAAGAGGATCTCCCCAGTCGTTGGCTGACCTTTTACAGTGCGGTCAAGTCTAACGGGAATGTTTTCATCAGGGACTCGTCTGTGGTTCACCCCCTTGCCCTGCTGCTGCTCACAGACTGTGACATTTCAGAGACAGGTACTCAGTTTGCAGAGATGGCAGCATTTGTAGCTGGCTGTCTGCAGAACATTTTCTGGAAAGCATTTTGATACATGAATGTAGGTTTTAAGGAAATTAATGTTTGATACTTTATTTTCCAAAGTTACTTTGAATGCATGTTTGTTTCCTCAGGATGTAAGGTCTGCCTTCTTTTAACAATATGAAACCTTTCTGTCGCAGTCTATGTTAAGAAGACTAATTATAGTTTATGGATTTATGGCTGCCAGGATTGTCAATCATAAATATAAAAAATGTTTGAGGTGCTTTTTCTTCCCGTTTTCCTGCCGTTTCAGTTAATAACAACAAGGTGGAAGTATCTTTTCCTGGCCGCTCTCTGGTTCGCTGCCAAGTGCCAATTGAGACATGGGAGCTGCTCTGGGAGCTACGTACTTCCATTCAGGCTATGCTGCACCGAAACTTCAACAATCCCAGCAACGCTATCATTTCTCAAGACGGACGCCTCATATCTTTACTTGTAGAGCTGCTCAACAACACCGAGTCGAATCCGTTTGTTGAGATTTCCTACACAGAAAGTGAGGTAGATTAAATAAATGATTTTCTGCATCTGAACTTTGACATATTCACATATTGAAGCATGTTTTTAAAAGCACTTTAAGATGATATTCCGAACAGGTTGAGAATGTTCTCGATTTGAAATCTTCAGTGGAGTTATGAAGCTGCTTCTTATTTATAAATGAACTCAATCATTAGATTATGTTTGAAAAATCCAGCCTATGGGTTTTTGAACTTTGTTTTTTTCTAAATGTTTCATTGCTTTCTGAAAAGCAGAGATTGGTTTTACTCTAATGAGTAAAGACAGAGGTCATTAAAATAATTGTAAGTACTATGTTTATTAAAAACATGGCCATGAGTCTTTTTCCCTTTTTTTTTTTTTTTTTATTTAAATGGTATGCAATACTTAAAGAGAGCTTTCCTGTTGATTTTTATGAAAACTCGTTCATAAACCTTTTGTGAAAAGTACTCAGACGTCTCAGTATTTCTTCCATGATTTCTGAAGGGGTCATTATGCAAAATCTGCAAAGACAAAGGAAAGTGAGTAGTTTTGTTGTGTGAAGCAACTGGAAAATCCATATATTCTTTCAAGATGTAATAAAAAAAATAATAATAATTTGGTCAAAACTGAAACACTGTATACTTATAGTTTGTCTCACCTGATGTGATAGGTTCCCTCCTGTTGTCCATATTCACTACCAGGACTTGATAACACTCCTGCCTCCTCCAGCAGTCTCATACAGTAAAATGTGTCTGGTTTCATTCCAAGCTCCTAAAAGACCCAAATATAAATCCACACATGATTCTCGTATTACATTATAAATTGTATTAAACTTAATTTTATTTTATTTTCAAACCTTTGCCGTCTCAATGGCTTTGGGTGGAAGAAACACTCGTGGGAAAGCAAACGCTCCTCCTTCCACTGGTTGGCAGCTGAAACCTGGCAAGCTGTTTATGACTTCTTCTACCCTCCTCACATTTTCAGCAACTGAGGTCCTGATGTGCTGTGTCTCCTACTCAATGAAGAATATACCAACAGCTTTAATTTTGCATTCTGTAAATGCCTTCCTGTGGATTAAAAACAAAAAATGGTCTACCTTCATATAAAGGGGATATGAGGGGTCTCCTGGTTGTGGAGGATTTGTCATCACATCCAGAGCAAACTGTCCCAACACTGGTGCACAGGAGTCAGCAGAGAACAGACTGTAGATGTGTTTCATCACAGCGGGGTCGAGGTTAACGAGCTCAACGTACCCAGCACGTAGACCGCACCTAAACTCGAGAAAGGCTCTGAAGTGTCAAATGTCTTTACAAAAAAAAAAAAATATCCGATTGTACTGAAATACATGCAGTGGTTTTCTTTTTAGTATCCATAAGAACTACAGAAGAATTTACTTCTTGGTGTGGGCAGATATATGGGGTAAGGAGTGTGGTTTATGCATTGCTTATCTTAAATTTCCAGTCTCAGTTTTTCTCCTTGTAGAAATTTCTACCAGCATGAATTAATATTTTATGAGCTCCTTATCGATGAAAAGCTAAGGCTGCTAACAGATGGAGGTCTAAAAGTGGTCAATAGAAAGGAAACTGATAAACCTTTAGTGTGTTCAAAAGGAAATGTGGATATGTCATCACTGATATTAAAGGCTTCTTAAAGCATCTCAGATTCAATAACTTATTTTCCTCAGTTGTTTTTTTTTTTAACCAAGGAGGTTCCTTAAAATCAATTGAATGGCGATAAACCAGATTGTGGCTTCTTTTTTTTATAATGTTCTATTTTTGGGTAACACCTCTATATGGTTAACATGGTTCAAGCTTAACGACCATGTAACAAATACGCAAACACTTGTGGGTATACTATTACTTCAGCCACCAATATGTTTGGCTCCTGGCTTTTTTAAACAAATGAAAAATGTCCTCTTTGATAACTAAACCTTAAAGAATCATCTTGCTCCTAAGATGAGGTGAATGAATCTACAAACTTCTTTTATATATTTTACCCTCCTGCTTCCATTCATACCTGCAGACAAACCATTTTATACTCGGTGACCCTGATGATGTGTCTGTTAATATTTTTGGGTGTGACTTTTTTTGTGCGTTAAGGGAGAGAAAATTCGTAAAGTACTGTTTTATTTAATAAAACTGCATAAAGTTTTTAATATTTCTGATGCGTTTGGGTCAGATGATAACCAAAAATCAAACCCCAATAAGTTGACAATAACGGACTTCTGGCTAACAAACTTTTTGGAAAGTAACAGTAGGCTATCAGAAAAAAAAAATCTTTAAAGTGTGCACCTAGTACGTACAAATTGTGGTATGGATATGATGCAACAAAAACTGCAAAGATCAGAATATTTGAAGGAGGGAACCAGAACTCCTTGGTGTCTCTAGCTGTGGATATGAAAACTTTCCACTACGGTACTTTAAATGCAACTCATTCTTGGCTGCAAGTCAGGAAAGTTGGTGGTTTGCAAATTACTGATTTACACCATACTGTTCTTATTCAATAGAATTCACAATACTCTGCAGGGGCATAAATAATGTTTTACCTGAACATTAGTTCATATATAACTTGTTTTCATTCAACTGATTTACTACCCGTTATGTTTAAGTCAATACTATAACTAATTGACAGAACTGTATTTTATTCAAATTGTTCAGGTTTTGAAGTGTGAAAGGTCAACAACGGATAACAGGAAAGTGAGTTCTGATTCAAGTACGGATACTTTCCTCGTTTGGGGGAGATTTAGAAGGGTAGAGTGAGAAACTGTAATTAAAGCTTGCATCCAGCAGAGTGAACGTTTTTTTTTTTTTTTTCTACATGATCACCTGATGGTTAGTGGTGTAAATCACCACTTTCATCACAGTAAGATGCTACAGTGTTTGGTTTGGATGTTTGGAGATATAAGGTTCCATTCAAATCTGTGATTGAATTAATGGGATATTATCTGATGATCTAACTGCCATTTGGATCAAAATTGCATCTTTTAATTATAAAAGAAATTATACATGTTATCATTATTATCATCATATATCACCTATGTACCGGTAGTATAGTCTTGGTAGTTTCAAAACAAAGCTGTTTAATGACGATGTGGATCAGTTTTTTATTTTGCATTGATGTAACTGAATCATTGATAATTTCAATATGTATTGATGTGAATCGATGTATTGTGACATCCCTACTTTTAGTACTTATATATTCTAACTCTGTTATTTATCTTAAGCTGTACATTGTTTGATTAAAAAACACGTGCCTTGTGGGAAGGAATACATGCGATATGACACGATTGAATACTTACTCTCCCATGAGGCCTTTAGAGGTTGTGTGGAAGGATGCCAGCTCCACTGTGTCTGACAGAGGAGACCCCATCTCAGCCAGAGCTCTTTTATAAGAGACAAACTCAGTTTCCTCCCCGAAAACACAATCCTGATACACCTGAGGAGGAAGAACCGGCTTTACATTTTAAAGAATAAAATAGTAAAAGTCTGGATTCACTGACCTCATCGGCTAGAAGAAAAAGCCTCTTCTCTGCAGCAAACCGGATCACCTCTTGCATTGATTTTCTGCTCTGAACATAGCCTGCAGTGATGAAAAGGTTATGTCTGATTAAAATACAATGAAATCCTATAAATGTTCTGTATTCTGCCTGGATGTTGCTACCTGCTGGGTTTCCAGGGTTGATGACATACAGACCAACAGGGTTGCATACTTCCTTAGCAGAGCCCCAAGCTCGCTGTAGCTCCTCCACATCCAGCGCCCAGCCTTGTTCCTCTCTTAGATAGTAAGGCACTACCTCAGCTCCCAGTGCCATTAGGGATAAAATAGTGGTGGAGTGGCACGGCACTGGAGTCAGCACTCCTGTTCTGGGTGAGGCCTCAGAATTCACCAAGACCTTTAAAATGTTCTGAAGGGCCCAATTAATGAGAAATGTATCTAACCAGGTAACCAACAGGAGGAGGCAGCTGTATGAATTGTGATAGTCTGTGTACCGTTAGTGCCCACTGTGAGCCGGAGCTGATGTAGATGTTTTCAGGGTGACTTGGAACTCCACCATCCCGTCTGGTGATATATTCAGAGACTCTCTCAACTATTTCTGGTACTCCTGCTGTAGCACAGTATGAACCTGGAGACAGAACTAAAACTCTTTAAAAGCAAAACAAAACAAAACAATTCTCAACTGAATAAATAGTTACCTTGGATGTGTTACGATTTAGTTCTTTGAGAAGCAGAACAATGAGATACAGATCTTTTGTCCTGACCACCAATAGACAGTTTAATGCCTCTTGAAAGACCGAATGTTTTATTATATTACTGTGTTTTTTTGTTTTTTCTATCTAAGTGTGTGTTTTTTTTATCCTATTTTATGTTTTTATCTTTGCAATCGGACAGGTGAATTTCCTCTATCGGGGATTAATAAAG